AGTTTAATGGACAATTGCGCGGTCATGCAATATGGTACATAAATGAAATTTATGTCCTTTTTATTTCACACAAATAGAGCTTTCTTTTGGTGGTATTTAATCACCTGTACACTTTTTATTTTTGGCGCTATAAACTAAAACATTTTTGAAGAAAAAAACTTTTTTTTAAAAAAAAACCAATATTTTCTCATTTCTGTCATAAAAAAATATCCAAAAAAAACAAATTTTGTCAAAAAATTTATGCCAAAATGTATTCTGCTACATGTTTTTGGTTAAAAAAATCCCAGTAAGTGTATATTTATTGCTTTGTGTGAAAATTATAGCGTCTACAAACTATGATATAGCTAATGGAATTTACACAGCATTTACTTTCTGACTGCCCATCACATTTCATGAGGTGCTAAAATGCCAGGATAGTACAAACACCCTCAAATGACCCCTTTTCGTAAAGTAGACACCCTAAGGCTAAGCTATCTGCTGAAAGGCATATTGTGTCCATGGAAGATTTATTTTTTTCCCACAAGTTTCTGGAAAATTACAAATTTTTTTTTTTTTTTTAACACAAAGTTTTCATTTAAATGATTTACTTCTTGCACAAGCCATGGGTATATGTGGAATTACACCCCAAAATACATTCTGCTACTTCTACTGAGTATGAGGATACCACATGTGTGAGACTTTTTGGAAGCCTAGCCACATACAGGAGCCTGAAATGCAATGATTACTTTGAAAGCCTGAAAAATGTTTTTGCTTTTTTTTTTCTTCATTTTCCAAAACCTTATGGCAACAAATGAAATCTGCAAAATACTTAACATGCTTCTTATCAAATTCCTTGGGGTGTCTACTTTCCAAAAAGGGGTCATTTGGGGGGGTTAGGTGCTATCCTGGCATTTCAGGGCCTCCGAAACTGTGATAGGTAGTCTGGAAGTGGGATGAGGAAATAAAGCCCTTTAAAAGCCTGAAGATGCTTATTGGATTTTGGGGTCCTGTACCTGGCTAGACTGCCAAAACGTCTCTCACATGTGGTAGCCCCATACTTGGGAGAAGTAGAAGAATGTATTTTGGGGAGTAATTCCACATATACCCATGGCATGTGTGAGCAATGAATCATTTAAGTGACAATTTTGTGTAAAAAAAAACCAAAATTTTTTGTTTGTCATTTTCCAAAAACTTGTGGTAAAAAAATAAATTCTTTTATTGATTGAACATGCCTCTCAGCAAATAGTTTGGGGTGTCTACTTTCCAAAAAGGGGTCGTTTTGGGGGGTGGGGGGTGTTTTATGCCCAGCATTAGAAGTTTATGCAACACATCATTCACTCTTCTAACCACCCGAAGACCAAGCGTTTTATGACACTTTTTGATCTCACGAAAAAAAAAATCAGTCTTTTTTGCTAGGAAATTAATTTAAACCCCAAACATTATATATTTTTTTAATGCAAACACCATAGTGAATAAAAATGGTGGGTACTACAATTTTTTATGGCACATAGTACTCGCACAGCCTTTTTTTCAAACGCAATTGTTTTTAAAAAATACACTTTTTTTTTTTTTACTTTTAATGCATAAAAAACACAATATATTGGCCAATTATTTGGTAAAATATAAAAGATGATGCTATGCCGAGTAAATAGATACCAAACATGACATGCTTTAAAACTGCGCATGCCCCGTGCAATGGCGACAAACTGTATACGTTTTTAATATCCATAGGCAATGTTTAAAAGCCTTTACAAGCTACCATTTTAGATTTACAGAGGAGGTCTAGTGTTAGAATTACTGCCCTTGATCTGACATTCATGGCAATACCTCACATGCATGGAGCAACTGCTGTTTCCATACTGGCACAGGGTTAACGCTCATGAACGCAGGTGTGCGCATGCGCGGGGGGTGAGGGTACTTTTTTTTTTTTAAGTTATTTTGATTTTTTTTTTAATTATTTTTACACTGTCCTTTTAATTTTTTTTTTTTAATCATCACTTTTAATGCTATCATAGGGAATGCAACTATCCCCTATAACTTCAATGGGCATTGTCATATATTCTTTTTTGAGAAATCTGGGGTCTATCAGACTCTGATATCTCTTCTGCCCTTACTTTATCTAATCAAACCAAAAATCGGTGTGATCAGATGCTTTCCCAATTTACAAATGGTACTGTTTATATCCTGCGAAACGGAAGCGATGAAATGCTCGTAGCTTCTGACTCCAATCAGCTCCGTGGTCAGCTGGCAGAAACACCGCTGCATTCTCAGGTTCTTCCTATGGCTCGGGACTGCCCAAGAAGGCCGTGAAAGGCAGCGGGGGTTATTGTCTCCCACTGCTTGTAAAAGCAATCCTGCAGTTAATTAGCCACTAGGATTGCTTTTACATGAAAGCTGATCGCCAGCTGAAAAAATGATACCAGGATGATGCCTGCAGCTGTAGGCATCATCCTGGTATAACCACTCAAAGTCCAGTGATGTACCAGCACGTCGCTGGTCCTTGTTGGGTATATATATGCTATGTTCTTTTGGTTTTTTTTATGCAGCCTGTGGACTGTATGAAAAAAGAGAAGAAATCTCTGCCAAAAAAAAAGTGTGTGGTATGCCCACCATTAAATATACCACCCTGCATCCACCCACCTCTAATGGTGGGCACACATTAGGTCACACTTTGCCACAAGCGCCAGTTCCAAGATTGTACAAATGTCTAAATAGTGGTACGCTTGAACAAAAATTGTCCATGTATAAGTGGTACCCCATATGGAAAAAGGATGACACCAAGTCCCAAACTATCTTGCCACTGCTCCCCATGTAGTCTGGGCATCCGGGGGGCTCCACGTGACTATCTATTCCCTCGTAAAACCGAAACGTATAAGTATAGCCTGTTGCCCTCTCACAGGTCTTCTACATCTTGACCCCATTACTGGCACGCTTGCTGGGGAGAAATTGTTTGAATGCAAGGCGGCCAGAAAAATTATAATTAGGGACTCATCAACGCAGATGTTTTGCTGGGGAGTATAGACACATGCAAATTTTTGATTAAGGTGATTTGCGGGGGGCTGAATTTTGTGTAGCCGGTCAAATTCAGGGTCACCCCGAAGGATGACAGAGTGTGTTGTAGTTGAAATGCATAAAACACATTATACTCGCATATCCTCTCCTCCACTCTTCCTACCACTCCATCCCCCACAGCTATTCCTCCCGTACCACTATCCCCTCCCTCCTAGATTGTATTGTTATTGTACTGTCTCATGTATTGTCTCCCATTGTAATGTACAGCGCTGAGCGAAATGTTGGCGCTATATATAAATACTGTATAATAATAATAATATCTATGCCTGGCCATGGCAGCAGACAACACGGGCATATGATGAATCGGGTCTGTGGACCAATACAACTGGAATTCATTTCTTTTAGTAATGCCCATGTTGAGGGTTAGGCCCCCAAAAAAAGTAAATTCAGAAACCGTAATGGGTTTCCATGCGAATGGTCTGGCAAGGTTTGAATTTTGGTTGGCGGTGATAAATTGTTGTGCATATAAATTGCTTTGATCCACAATCAATGCATACAGATATTCTGTGAAAAACAGCTCCAAAAATCAAGGGGAGTAGTTAAATTTCTATTTCCACCTGAATTCCGGGTTGGGCAGTGAACGGGGGAAGAACAAGTGTGCTGCAAAATTTGTGGACTGCCAATCGGGATTTGCAAGCACATCCGGAAGGATATTAGCGGCTCTACGGGCCTGTGTGCGAATTTAGTGGCTGCGGGACAATACTTGTGCTCGCCACCGCACCAGCTTGTACTGCACTTATAGGACTCGCCACCAAGTCAGACTGCAGTGCTGGTATTATTATTATACAGGATTTATATGGCGCCAACAGTTTGCTCAACGCTACAATATAACGGGAGACAATACAGCAACAATACAGTTCAATACAAGAGGGTTAGGAGGGCCTGATCCTGGGAGCTTACAATCTAAGAGGCAGCATATGAGAGTCATCAAAAAATTTACCGGCAAGTGCTAACAGAGATCAGGCCTGATTCTGCGAACACTGCGGTTTTGTGTGTAATATATCAAGTGACAGTAACCTACTGACACTGCACTTGCTGGGGAAAAAGGGGGGGGGGGGTAAGCTTAAGGGCTAAACGCAGGTGCTGGGGCTGATCCTGCTAACGCTGCATTTTTGGGGACGCTATGCTAATGTGAACGCTGGTATAGTGCTGATCTGATCAAAGATATTGATCCGTTCAGACACTATACTAGCAATGGAGATTTATTGTGTATAATCATGTTGCTGGCAATCAAGGGGTTAAATGTGATGACTGGTGTACTGAGGGGCAATCTGACGCCATCTGGGAGGGGAGTGAAAACCACGGGAGCGTGAATATATATATATATTATTATTATTATACAGTATTTATAAAGCACCAACAGTTCGCTCAGCGCTGTACATTACAAAGGGGGACAGAACATGCGACAGTACAATAACAATACAATGCAATACACGAAGGGTTCGAGGGCCCTGCTCCTTGGAGCTTACAATCTAGGAGGGAGGGGATAGTGGTACAGGAGGAAATACCTGTGGGGGATGGAGTGGAAGAGTGGAGGAGGTCGGGAATTAGCAGGGGGTGGGGTAGGCTTCCCTGAAGAGGTGGGTTTTCAGGGTGCGCCTAAATATATTGTGATTTTGCGCACCATGCCACCCTGTAGTAGCATTTCTGCTTTAGGGTGGTCAGGAAGCGGTTACAGAAGTGGTTTGTGTTACGTTGCTGCGTTACTTTAACTGACATTTGCGCGGTCATGCAACACTGCACCCAAATTAAATTTACGTCTTTTTTTTTTCCCACAAATTGAGCTTTCTTTTGGTGGTATTTGATCGCATGTGCATTTTTTTTTTTTTGAGCTATAAAAAAGGCTGACAATTTTGAGGAAAAAAAACAATATTTTGGACTTTTTGCTATAAAACATGTCCAGTAAAAAAATTTAAAAAATTTAATTTTGTCATAAATTTCAGCCAAAATGTATTGTGCGACATGTCTTTGCTAGAAAAAATCCCAATACGTGTAAATTAATTGGTTTACGTGAAAGTTATAGCGTTTACAAATGGTGGGAAAGATACTGGGATTTTTTTCTTTTATAATAATAATTGCGGCAATCAGCGACTTATGGCGGTGATCACCAATTTATGACAGTGATTAGCGACTTATGGCGGGACTGCAGCGGACATTTTGACACTGGGGGGGGGGGGGGGAACTGACTTGGGGTCACTGACACCAATACAGTGATCAGTGAAAAAAAGAAAAAAAAAACTGACACTGTACTAATGGCACTGGGGAGGAAGGGGTTAACTTTTTTATTCAATGAAAGGGTTAACTGTTTTAGGGGAGTGTTTTACTAGTGGGCGGGGTGTGTACTTCACAAGAACAAGCTGTCCCGGAAAGCTAATCTCTGCTCTCCATGAGAGTGTGTTAGGAGCTGACAGGGAGCAGAGGTGCAGTGTAAACACTGCAGCCGTGCTCTCTGTCAGTGATTGCCGATAATCGCCGGGAGCAGGCGGGTAGTGACCGGCCGGAACCCGGTGATTGACACCCGCGATCAGCGGTGCAGGTAGGGCGGGTGCGTGCCTCCTACCTGTTTTGCTAAACGACGTTTCAAAACGTGGTTTAGCACAGCGGTGCCGCCCTGCCACAGTATATACACTGCGGCTGGTAGGCAACAGGTTAAAGAAGACCACTATTTTGATTGGACTTGAGTTTATAATGACTTTTTGGGGTTGATTCAATGTTATTCTTTGTTTTGGGTAATTTTTTTGTATTTAATCTCTTATTTTTCACATTTTTTGATTCACAGGCATTGTTTTTTGTTTGATGTAGTGCAGCATATTTTTCTTCACTTTTATTCTTAATATAGTGTATATAGACAGTGCCCATCTAATCAAGAAGGATTAACCTGCAAGAAGCCAGGGAGAAGATGGACGCATAGGGATGAGCTTAGGCATGTTTGGACATGAGTCTGAACCTGCCCAAGCTATCCTGCCAGGATGCTGGCAAAGTGAACAGCCAATCAGATGTTGGAAGCATGCCCTGCAGCCACAAGTATACAAGTGGTGTGTATATGTGTGGCTGTGAGGGTGGAGACAGCCTCTGCCACCTATGATTGGCTGACCTCTTTGACAGCATCTTGGCAGTATAGCTAATATGGGTTCAGACTCATGTCTGAACATGCCCAAGCTCATGCCTAGCCACCAACTGTGAGCAGTGTCGGAGGTGGACAAAAGGTTGGACGCACCACAAGCTGCAAATAAGCAGTGCATATGTACACATGTTCCTGGGAGGCCAAATAGCGTTAATTACATTTTAAATATACCACTGAAATTTCTTTTAGCCACTTGCCATTCAGACAATTTACCCCCCTTTCTGACCAGGCCATTTTTTGTGATATGGTGCTGCATTACTTTAACTGACAATTGCGCAGTCATGCAATGCTGTACTTATGAAATGCATGTCATTTTTTCCCCACAAAGAGAGATTTCTTTCGGTGGTATTTGAACACTGCATTTTTTATTTTTTTGTGCTATAAAACAAAAAAAAACAAACAATTTTGAAAAAAAAAAAAAAATTATATAGATAGATAGAGAGATTATTTTTTTACTTTAAAACATATCCAATATAAAAATTAAAAAGATTGAATTTCTTCATACATTTGGGCCAAAATGTATTCTGCTAGATGTCTTTGCTAAGAAAAAAATCCCAATACGTGTATTAATATAATTGGTTTATGTGACAGTTCTAGCGTCTACACATGGCGGTATATATACTGGAATTTTTTTTTCTAGTAATGGTGGCAATCAGTGACTTATAGTAGGACTACGGCGGGCATTCTGACACTGGGTGGGAACTGACTAATGGCCACCGACATCCCCAGTGACACTAATACAGGGATCAGTGCTAATAAAAAGCACTGACACTGTACTGACACTGAGCAGGAAGGGGTTAACATCTGCAGCGAGCAAAAGGTTAACTGTGTTCGGTTTTACATTGTATGCTGTGTGTGCTTTACTAGGGAGACATGCTGTGCAGAGAGATACAAAGCAGCATGTACATGCTGACAGGAGAGAGATCTGTGTTGTTTACACAGGTCTCTCCCCTCTCAGCTCTGCTAATGATCACAGAGTGCCAGCCAGGACCCTGTGATTGACATCCCCAGCAGCCAATAATGGCATGGGTAAAGCGAGCGTGCCCCCTACCCAGAAATACAAGTGATTTTGTAGAGCCCTGCTGCCCTGTAGCAGTACTTCTACTATAGGGTGGAGGGCAATTGGTATCTATTCAATAACTGCAAAACTAGCTGCTGATCCAGCCTGAAAACTTTCCTCTGCTGCATTCTTATCATTGTCCTCCGCTCTCTGTGTGAGCTTTTAGGGCTCATTCACAATAGAGGTTGGCTGGGAAGTAAAACTCTGGTTCAGCAGTGCTGTTACCTTCCCCAACTGCTAACCCCTTATGCTGTAGAGGCAGCAGCTGGGGATGCACACTTACTGCAGATATGATGTAGTGCTACAGGGGTGCAGCAGGAATTACACCCCCTGTTGCCTTCAGCAGGGGTAGTGCCTGGCGATCGTGACCCATTCAAGGGAATGGGGAAGTTCTACAAGTGTCCTGCAACCATGTGCAATACATGTGGCCAAGTAGTGCAAGAACATCTTCAAAGACACAATGACTATAAAAAGGTTCCCGCACTACTTTGATGTGACATTGAGTACCAAAGAGTGGAAAGTCACATCAAAGTCACACTCAATACTTTATTGGAAAAAAAAAATCAAAATGCATAAAAAAAAAAAAAAAAAAAAAACAACGCATTTTTGAAAACACAAAATGCTCCAGAAAAAACACGAATCACAACACACATAGGTGTGAACCAGGCTTCACCTTAAAGCCGGAGGAGAACGTGGATCGCTCCTCAGACAGCACTGCAAGTGTGAACGAACCTTGAAATGGCTCCCTCTACACACAATGAAGCAGAGTAGAGTGGGAGGTGTTCTGTAGTCTTGCCCTACACATAGGTTACCCTATCAATTCTGTTGCTAGGAAGAACTTGCCAGACTCTGGATTAGTACAGCTGGGTAGACAGAGTGGGTTGAATACTCCCCTACATGGTGTCCTGCTCATCCAGCCAAATGCACAGAAAGAGGTGCTTACTTGTTAGTGTGACATGGCCTCCAGGGTGACAACGCTGCTCCTCCATAGACACAGCACAGTGAGCGTTGTCAGCCGAGGACAGGAAGTGTATTATATTCCCCATACAGAAGGAAGGATTTCCTTTATGCATTATATGCAGTCAGTCCTGAAAAGTGAAAATTAAATTTGCCAAATTTGAAATGTGTGTACATCGGTGTACAGGTGACGTGGGTGTACATCGGTGTACAGGTTACATGTACATACAATGGTGTACAGGTGATGTGTACGTACAGTTGTGTTCAAAATAATAGCAGTGTGTTGAAAAAAAGAGAATAAAGCTCAAAATCCTTCTAATAGCTTTTATTTCCATACACACAAATGCATTGGGAACACTACACATTCTATTCCAAATCAAAACATGAAGAAAAATATATCAAATTTGTGTTGTTCCTCTAAAAAAATTGAAGAAAACTGAATATTAGACTGTTCAAAAAATAGCAGTGTTTGTATTCTTTACAAACTCAAACATTCACTATATAAACTGAAAAATGTTTGAAGATTTTGCTTTCCTTTGAATCACTTAATATTTAGTTGTATAAGCACTGTTTCTGAGAACTGCTGTACATCTGTGTTGCATGGAGTCAACCAACTTCTGGCACCTGTGAACAGGTATTCCAGCCCAGGATGATTGGACTACATTCCACAGTTCTTCTCTATTTCTTGATTTTGCCTCAGAAACTGCATTTTTGATGTCACCCCACAAGTTTTCTATTAGATTAAGATCCAGGGATTGGGCTGGCCACTCCATAACGTCAATCTTGTTGGTCTGGAACCAAGATGTTGCACGTTTACTGGTGTGTTTGGGGTCGTTGTCTTCTTGGAACACCCATTTCAAGGGCATTTCCTCTTAAGCATAAGGCAGCATGACCTCTTCAAGTATTCTGATGTATTCAAGCTGATCCATGATCCCTGGTATGCGATAAATAGGCCCAACACCGTAGTATGAGAAACATCCCCATATCATGATGCTTGCACAACCATGCTTCACTGTCTTCACAGTGTACTGTGGCTTGAATTCAGTGTTTGGGGGTCGTCTGACAAACTGTCTCCGGCCACTAGACCCGAAAAAGAACAATCTTACTTTCATCAGTCCACAAAATATTGCGCTATTTCTCCTTAGGCCAGTCAATGTGCTCTTTGGCTAATTGTAACCTCTTCAGCACATGTCTTTTTTTCAACAGTGGGACTTTGCGGGGGCTTCTTGCAGATAGCTTGGCTTCACATAGGCGTCTTCTAATTGTAACAGTACTCACAGGTAACTTTAGACCTTCTTTGATCTTCCTGGAGCTGATTGTTGGCTGAGTCCTTGCCATTTTGGCTATTCTTCTATCCATTCGAATGGTAGTTTTTTGCTTTCTTCCACGTCTTTCAGGTTTTGGTTGCCATTTTAAAGCATTTGCGATCATTTTAGCTGAGCAGCCTATCATTTTCTGCACTTCTTTATATGTTTTCCCCTCTCCAATCAACTTTTTAATCAAGGTACGCTGTTCTTCTGAACAATGTCTGGAACGACCCATTTTCCTCAGAATTTCAGAGAGAAATGCACTGTAACCAGCATGTACAACATTTGCTGCCTTCCTTCCTTAACCTCCCTGGCGGTATTCCCGAGTGTAGCTCGGGGTAACATTTCAGTACCAAAAGCGGTAACCCCGAGCTACACTCGGGAATACCATGCGGCGCTGCTCCGGCATGTGTTCTTCACTTACCTTACCCTGCGCTCCCACGATGTGTCCCCTGCAGCGCCCCGGCCATCTCCTCCGGCCGATGCCGGCATCCGGCTTCTGTGTCCTGTCCCTGTGACGTCGGGACGTACGGGCGCCGCCGCCGGCGGGAAATTTAAAAATTTTAAAAAATGTCATTTTTTTTTTTTCATTTTACACAGTAAAACATTGCTGTTTCAACCTATTTCACATACATATTGTCCCTAGTGCTTTGTCCTGCGCCCTGCCTGCATTTTGTCTGTTCTTTCTGCCTGGAAACTGAGAAATGTCCATGGCGTCCAAAAAGTGTCCCTTTAGGTCAAAAGCGGTTTAGATCAGCTAGAGAACAGCGATAGTAAATCAGAACCACTTACAGAATTGAGTGATAATGATTCGTGGGGGAAATTCGTCATCAGAAACTGAAAACGATTTTGCGACTGAGCTCAGCAATGTGCGAACTTGGCGCTCTATTTCACATTTCAGTGTTTTTGGTTTGATTATATTATTGAATTAAATTTTTTATTATTTTTATATTATTTTTATGATTATTTATTAAATTATAATTTATGATTTTGTGTTTCAAATTTTATCATACCCGGGATGTTTACTAGACTCTTGTTCAGACAGATTTCAGTGAGTTTTTCCTAAAAATTACAGCCTACAATAAAAAAAATACATATTTCCATGCAAAAAAATGGTACCGCTTTCAGCACCAAAAATCTGAAATAATCATACCGCCAGGGAGGTTAAATAAGGGCAATAATTGCCACCTGTTTTTCAAAGAATGAATGACCTCACTAATAGAACTCCACACTGCTATTATTTTGAACATGCCCCTTCCAATTAGTGATTCAATTACACAGAATCAGCAGCATGCATGTCATGACTGTTGGATTTCTATTACTCTACTACACCTGCTAGTAAATAATTTGCCATGTAGAAATATAATTTCTACCAAAAACAGTGATTGATCAGGTTAGTGATGTCTGCCATTATTTTGAACACAACTGTACAGGTGACGTGTACGTGCATTGGTGTACAGGTGACGTGACATGTATATACAATGGTGTACAGGTGACATGCACATGCATTGGTGTACAGGTGACGTGACATGTATGTACAATGGTGTACAGGGGACGTGACATGTATGTACAATGGTGTACAGGTGACATGTACGTGCAATGGTGGACAGGTGAAGTGTACGTGCAATGGCGGACAGGTGAAGTGTACGTGCAATGGCGGACAGGTGAAGTGTACGTGCAATGGCGGACAGGTGAAGTGTACGTGCAATGGCGGACAGGTGACGTGACAAATATGTACACTGGCGCACAGGTGACGTGACATGAACAGTGGCGTACAGGTGACGTGACATGTAGGTACAATGGCGTACAGGTGACGTGTACGTGCAATGGTGGACAGGTGACATGACAAATATGTACATTGGCGTACAGGTGACGTGACAAATATGTACATTGGCGTACAGGTGACGTGTACGTACAATGGTGTACACTGAGCTCAGAGATCTCTCCTGCTCTGTCTGGACTCTGCTGGACTCAATGCAGTCTCTGAGCCTAGAGCTCCCCCTGCTGGGCATAGCCGGCTCCGCAGCTTCGTGTTGTCATATTCAGCCCATACACCGCGAACCTCCCCCCTCCGCCAATGACGTCTCACCGATCTCATCCCCGTGCCCCATGCGGGCCAGTGTGTACAGAAGCTCCGGGGACAGCACGGACGGTATACCCTTCAGAACCACCATGTCTGAGCGCTCACTGTCCGGCCACAGTCTGCAGGAACCCGGAAGACGAGGCCCACTCCCAGCATGCTTTGCAGTGCTCTGCTGACACCGCAGGATAGCTGGATATCGGTTTGAAAAACCCGGCTGAATGACGTCATAGCCTGGCTCCTGAACATGTATCATTATGTGGGTGGATAAAGCACCCCTCCCCCTCTTTTCTGGGCTATGTGGGTCTCCGCTCTGCTCATCTTCTGCAGCCTCTTTTCAGCCACTTCCCATGTTCAGTGCAACAAATGCGCATGCTTGCAGTGGAGCATGCCTGTGACACCACCATGTCTCATCTCTATGGGGAGGGTCATAGGGGACAAAGAGATAACAGGAAGTTCATGTCCCAGTACCCTGGTGGCAGGATCACCAAGTATTTTCCTCTGCAGCATGCAGCCACATTAGAGTAGCACCTCACCCCTTTACACCCGCACACATATTAATGACACAGGCTCTGTGGCTGATTAAGGTGGTCATTAAATTCACTGAGTGCCTTATCTGCAATTATTCAGCCTCCGGGCCTGTGGAATTAGTATGTGTGCTGGTGTAGAGGGGAAGGCGGCAACCCCAAGCCGCATGTACATCCCTCTGTGCTAACAGGGGCTTTGTGACCTCTGAAAGATGGCTAGTCCTGGGGGGGTGTCTATAGAGCTCCTCCCACAACCCCGCCCCCAGGGTGGACCCAACTGATCACAGATAGGGGTAAAAGGCCAATCGCTGCAGGCCTTTACCATGTGATCAGCTGTGTCCAATCATAGCTGATCACACATAAACAGACATGCCGGTTATCAGCGGTCCTTTTCTCCAATGATGTGTCTGTGTGAGGAAATGAGAGCCCATTACTGGCAAGACTGTCAGTACATGGATTACAGCGATCATCAGTGCCCTGATTATCAGTGTAGCCTATCAGTGCCCATCAGTGTAGCCTATCAGTGCAGCCTTATCAGTGCCCATCAGTGTAGCCTATCAGTGCCCATCAGTGTAGCCTATCAGTACAACCTATCAGTGCCCATCACTGTAGCCTATCAGTACAACCTATCAGTGCCCATCAGTTTAGCCGATCAGTGCTCATCAGTGTAGCTTATCAGTGCAGCCCATCAGTGTAGCCTATCAGTGGCCATCAGTGCAGCCTCATCAGCACACATCAGTGAAGAAGAAAACTTTGCAAAATTTTATAACAAAGTAAGAACAACATTTTCTGTCTGATTTTGTTTGCTTAGCAAAAAAATAAAATCCTCAGTAGTGAATAAATACAACCAAAAGAGAGTTCTGTCTCAAAAAAAATTATACACATTTCATATGGGTACAGTGTTGCATGACCACGCAATTGTCATTTAAAGTGCAACAGCGGTGAAAGCTGGAAATTGGCCTGGGCAGCAAGGGGGTGGAAGTGCCTGGTATTGAAGTGGTTAATGAATGCTGTTTTTTGAAAAACATTAAAAATTAAATATGTTGACGCATAAGGGCTTATTTCTGCCTTTGTAGAAAAAAAAAAGCAATGCAAAAAATAAAAATGTTCATTGAATTTTTGCCCGCCGCACCCCACAATGCACTACACCCTGACAGTGCATTGTGATTGGCCAAAGCAATGCACCTAACCACAGGTGCAATGCCTTGGCCAATCACATTGCATGATGACATCACGAGGGGGGGACAAGTCACTTCTGGAGGCTCTCAGGAGTACAGCTACTAATAGGAATGAATGGGACAGTGGTGCACACGTGCACAACAAAGGGGAGCTGGGTCCTTGTTGGAGATAAAATCGCTGCTCAAGGTCAATATAAAGCCAGACTGCGGCAGTGAAGAGCAATTTGTGTGAAATTGTCCTTTAAGGCAGCTCTATCATTTAACTAGTTGCAGACTTTGGGCATGCTACACCCAAAAAAAACTTCATATTTGTACACAGGGCATGTGTAGCACGTCCAGTCTCTTTTCCCTGCTTCTGGAATCCCCCCCCCCTTTTTCCAGTATACTGTAATTGTCGGCTGTGATTAATGAAAGCAGGCATTATGGTATACTTAGAGAAGTTGGGCTCTAGCTGTCAAAAAAGCAGTCTGAATCAGTGTTTATAAACAACATTGCAAAGAGGTTATGCAGAGATACAATGTAACCTATTGTTTCATTTGTATCTTTATGTTCATCCATCTGAAGAATGAAGAGATGAACTTACATCCGAAGATGATGTCAGTTAATACAAACGACAAATTAAAAGAAAAAAGTTTTCTATTTTTAATTAAATGTTCCTCTGTTTAACCCCTTATTAACCCTTAGTTTACTCTGAACAGCCCTAATTAACTCCTTAGTATCCTCTCTTCAACTATTATTGTCCTGCTTTTTTTTTATTGTTTCTATTAATATTTCAACTTTTTTTTATTTTGTTTGTTAATATGTTTACACAATTCACATACATATCCACATTTCCAATTTTAAAAAAGCACACAATTGAAAAAAACCCACTTTATTTATTTTGTAAATATGTTTGCAATGCTTTGTATTAGAGTTATAATTTTAGTGTCATGTTAACCAGGACAGATTACAGAATACAATGTGCACATCTTATATGTAGTTACACTATTTATTTTTAAACTAAAAAAAAAAAAAAAAAAAAGGATGTTTTGTTTAGTTTTGTTGAATTTTTTTGCTAAGAATTGAGAAAAAATCATTGTTGCAAGACAATATCATGAAAAGAAAATGTTCTTTAGAAAAACAATATATGTGTTTCCATGTTATCTTTAGTAATGACAGGTATTGCTGAATAAACAGGTCCATAGCAGAAATGTAAAAATTTGCTCTTGTCCACAGGGGGTGAATAGTCATGAGAGGTGAAGTGGTTAAAATGGGCTGCCAATGCATAGTAGTTGGAAGAGAAACTGGACACATAGCTTTTTTTTAACCATTTCCCCTCTCGCAACTGTTCACCCCCTATGGACCAGAACAATTATTTTACATCTCTGTTATGCATATTTTTATTCAGCAATAGCTTTGTCATTACTAAACTTGTTATTGCCAGCCATATGCTTTAACACCGAGAGCCCACATATAAGTATCCATGAAGAATGGCTTTTCTGTGCTATGAGCGAGCTCACTGAGCACTATCAGATCAGTAAATAAGATGTCACAAGCAGCTCCTAATGAATATAAAATAGTAAAAAGAAAGTGAGCGCTGCCTAATATGGCAGCTGGCACATCAAGGTAACCAAATGAAATCCAAAAGTACAGTGTATATCATAAAGTGCAGCGCTAAATAGTCAAGCTCCTAATGCATACTTGCAATCAGCTTCTAATCATGTGACCACTGTGACAGCCAATCACAGCGGTCACATCAGAAGCAACCCAAAATCTGCCAGCCTCTACCACCCAACATCCACCAGCCCTGCCCCCCCTCCCCATCCACAGGACACACCGTTTGAAAGCGGGACAATCAAAAGTTTTTTTTTTGTGATATTGTCTTGCAATAATAATTTTTGTAAGCAATCCCTAGTCAATTGTACCAAAACAAAAAAAAAAAGACACTAAAATTATGATTCTGGTACAAAGTGTTGCACAGTTACTTCTAAATTAAAGAAATGTTTTCCTTTCAATTTTTGCATTTTTTAAAATATGACACACAAAACAATTAATGAGCAAAACAAATAATAAAATGTTTAAATATATTGATAGGTTGATAAAATAGCAATGAACAACAAAAAAATATGTGGCAAAAAATTATAGTTGAAATGAGTTAATTAGGGGGGTAAGCATAAGCAAATTTTATATATAAAAAAAAGTTTTTTTGTTTTTTAAATTTACTTGTTAGGTTGCTTTAACTGACATCACCTGCAGCTTGAAGAAGCTAATCCCCTTGATCTGAAGATGAATGAAACAGAGGCCATAAGTACTTGGTGATGCCACTTCAGGCTGAGGCATAAAGCCCCAATGGTACTCAGAATAGTAGGAATGCCAGCATAAGAAAAACTCATCCAATGAGCAATGAATTTTTTAGCTTGAAACCATTGCTTGTCTTAGTTGATACTGATATGGATGTGTAAATATGAAAGCCTCAGTCATTGCCACTTCTCAGGCCATGCCCCCTGACATGTTTCGCCCCACCCACTTAATAGGGGTCTACACTCATAGTGTAATGCAACCTCAGCCACCAAGAATTTGAACACAAGCCTGTAGAGCCCATAGTAGCCTTCCAGAGGTGCTTGCAAACCCTAAATGGCTGCCCCCAGAATCAGCAGCACCTATTATTCCCCTATTCACAGCCCAGACCGGGGTTCAGGTGGAAGCAGTAAAACTTAACAATGTCCCTTGACTTATTTTAGCTGTTTTTCACTGGAGACCTCTATAATTTCATTGTGGACCAAAGTAATGTTTATGCCCAACAGTACATTTCCGCCAACCCAAATTCATACCTTGTCAATCCATTCAAGTGAAAACCTATTATGGTTTTTGAATGTAAAACTTTTTTTGGGCCTAACCCTTAACATGGGCTTTACAAAAAAGATTGAATTGCAGTCATATTGGTCCACAGACCCCATTCATGCCTGTGTTCTCTGCTGCAATGGCCAGGAAATCCAAACAACATCTGAGTCCATACGATGGAACCCTGGATGATCAACTGGCTAACACGTTTCAAGGACACAACCTTGGTTGGCTCTGAGGAAGAGGTTGTGTCCTAGAAACGTGTTAGCCAGTTGGTCATCCAGGGTTCCATTGTATGGACTCAGATGTTGTTTGGATCATACATCTTGTTCAGTTTGACATGCCTGTGTTATTATGTCCATTGTGAGTATGATATCTATTTTGTTTCTTCAATAAATTATTTTAAACAATAATGCACTAGGTCGGTGCGCCCTTTTTCTGTTTCTCCATTTGTATCCAGTGTATTTGGACCACCCCAGTCTGTTGAGGGCAGCAAGCAGTGCATACTCCAGAAAATTCCAGAACATTCCTATTGGGTCTACTGAGTCCTTTCCTAGCGCAGGAGTAAAGTGTTTGTTATGTTGGATTTACAATAGCACCAGTGTCACAGTTCCCAATGGGCACAGGATGATGTCTTTTGGCACACTGACTTATGAAGGTTGGTGCTCCCTGTGACTATGCATGCAGCCTTGTGCTGCCATCTGTTGGCATGTTACAAAACTAGTCTGGAAACTTTTTGATTACACCTCGTATGTATTTTAAGTAGGAGACTTCAATTTTTAAGCAGTTTTTAAGCAGTTACAGCAACACTGGTATACTTAACTGAAAATGTTGTTTGACAACTTGGTCTGTTAAAAGAAGTAAAAAAAAATTGATCTACAAGTAGTTAATACAATTTCAGACTATGTCATGTGCAGTATGTCATTTTTCTGTTCTGCCCATAGTTTAATTTTTTTAGTAGAGTAGGCTTGAGGTGACTGTAACTGTCATAGTGCACTTGCAAACAAAAACATGTGCATTTAGTTTCTCTACGATTCGTTTTTGAAACAAAAATTTAATTTTTGGAGATTCGTATACATCTGACATAGTAACGAATGTCAACGAATCCTAAAAAAAAATCCTAACGAATGCATTTGTTTCATTCAGATAACATCACATGATGCGAAAGTACTTCAGACCCATGGTGAAATTAATTCAATTTTCATTTGTTTGATAATTTGTATAATGAATGGATCTGAATTTCAATCCATTTGTTAATTTGGATGCACATGACACCAGACAATACTGTCCAATCAGCTCATGCCATTTCCCTTGGTGGGTTGGACTAGCATCCGAAAATAATTTTCAGTAACATCTACATTTTCAGGACAAGTTTTTGGGGTGTGTACCTCCTTCTTCAAAGTCCAAGTAGCATTTAGTACTGCTTAGACCTTGAAGAAGGGGGGTACACTCTGAAAGCTTGTCCTGAAAATGTGGATGTTATTGCAAATAAAAAAGTATCATGGACAGTACTCAATTGATTTAGTAGAGTAGGGGAAGTATAGAGCCCAAGTCCATTTTTTTTATTACTGTCCCATATGCAGGTTTTTCTTCACTTCCTGTTTAGTGAAAGCCTGGTAAAAAAAAAATCTAATCCTTCCTCACTCTTTACAAACCAAAAAAAGGTTTTTGCTAGAGTTAGACCTAAAACGTCTTTATTATTTTGTTATGCCATGAACCAGATGAATCTGAAGCAAGGACCTCCAGAAGCCCGGGAGAGGAATAGAAAATCATGCATAAGACTATATATATATTATATTGCCAAAAGTATTGGGATGCCTGCCTTTACACGCACATGAACTTTAAAGGCATTTCAGTCTTAGTCCGTAGGGTTCAATATTGAGTTGGCCCACCCTTTGCAGCTATAACAGCTTCAGCTCTTCTGGGAAGGCTGTCCACAAGGTTTAGGAGTGTCTATGGTTTGACCATTCTTCCAGAAGCGCATTTGTGAGGTCAGGCACTGATGTTGGACGAGAAGGCCTGGCTCACAGTCTCCACTCTAATTCATCCCAAAGGTGTTCTATCGGGTTGGACTCTGTGCAGGCCAGTCAAGTTCCTCCATCCCAGGCTCGCTCATCCATGTATTTATGGACCTTGCTTTGTGCACTGGTGTGCAGTCATGTTGGAACAGGAAGGGACCATCCCCAAACTGTTCCCACAAATTTGGGAGCATGAAATTATCCAAAATGTCTTGCTATGCTGACTCCTTAAGAGTTCCCTTCACTGGAACTAAGGGGCCAAGCCCAACCCCTGAAAAACAACCCCACACCATAATCCCCCTCTACCAAACTTTACACTTGGCACAATGCAGTCAGGCAAGTACCGTTCTCCTGGCAACCACCAATCCCAGATCCATCCATCCATTGGATTTCCAGAGAGAGAAACATGATTCGTCACTCCAGAGAACACATCTCCACTGCTCTAGAGTCCAGTGGCGGCGTGCTTTACACAACTGCATCCAACGCTTTGCATTGCACTTGGTGATGTAGGACTTGGATGCAGCTGCTTGGCCATGGAAACCCATTCAATGAAGCTCTTTACACACTGTCGTTTTGCTAATCTGAAGGCCACACGAAGTTTGGAGGTCTCTAGCTATTGACTCTGCAGATAGTTGGCAACTTCTGTGCACTGCGCACTTTAGCATGCGGTGACCCTGCTCTTTCATTTTATGTGGCCTAACCCTTTGTGGCTGAGTTGCTGTTGTTCCCAGTTTCTTCCACTTTGTTATAATACCACTAATAGCTGACTGTGGAACAGGGGCGGACTGACAGCTCATGGGACCCCCGGGCAATAGGGGATCATGGAGCTCCTGTGTCCTTGCCCAAACTCAAAAAAGCCTATGAAAAAGGTACCAGGGGTATCTCATGGGGCCCCCTACTGACCCCGAGCCCTCGGACAGTACCCGAGTTTCCAAATGGTCAGTCCGCCCCTGCTGTGGAATATTTAGCAGCAAGGGAATTTCACGCATGGACTTTCATTGCACAGGTTGCAACCTATCACAGCACCACACTTGAATTCACTGAGCTCCTGAGAGCGACCCATTCTTTCACAAATGTTTGTAGAAGCAGTCTGCATGCCTAGGTGCTAGATTGTATACACCTGTGGCCATGGAGGTGATGGGAACACCTGAATCCAGTAATTTGGAGGGCTGGCCCAATACGTTTGGCAATATAGTGCATATACACTGCTCAAAAAAATGAAAGGAACACTTGCTCCTGGACAGTCTGAGGCAGGGGCGGACTGACAACACATGGGGCCCCCGGGCAATAGGGAATCATGGGGCCCCTGTGTCCTTGCCCAAAATCAAACAAGCCTATGAAAAAGGTACCAGGAGCATCTCATGGGGCCCCCTACTGACCACGGTCCCTCGGGCAGTACCCGAGTTTCCAAATGGTCAGTCCGCCCCTGGTCTGAGGTGCAACCTGGTGGCATTGGATGGACCGAAACATGATATCCCAGAGGTGTTCTATTGGATTTTGGTCAGACGAGCATGTGGGCCATTCAATGGTATCAGTTCCTTCATCCTCCAGGAACTGCCTGCATACTCTTGCCACATAAGGCCAGGCATTGTCGTGCACCAGGAGGAACCCAGGACCCACTGCACCAGTGTAGAATCTGATAAAGGGTCCAAGGATTTCATACCTAATGGCAGTCAGGGTGCTATTGTCTAGCCTGTAGAAGTCTTTGCATCCCTCCATGGATATACGTCCCCAGAACATCACTGACCCACTACCAAAAAGGTCATGCTGAACAATGTTATAGGCAGCATAACATTCTCCATGGCTTCTCCAGACCCTTTCACATCGGCCACTTTATTAGGTACACCCGTTCAATTATTTGGTAAACACAAATTGCTAATTAGCAAAACAAGGCAGCAACTCAATGCATTTAGGAATGTAGATGTAGTGAAGACGACTTGCTGATGTTCAAACCAAGCATTAGAATGGGGAAGAAAGGGGATTTAAGTGGCTTTGAACGTGGCATGGTTGTTGATGCCAGACGGGATGGTCTGAGTATTTCAAAAACTGCTGATCTGCTGAGATTTTCACTCACAACCATCTCTATGGTTTACAGAGAATGGTCCAAAAAAGAGAAAAATCCAGTGAGCAGAAGTTGTATGTATAAAAATGCCGTGCTGATGTCAGAGGAGAATTGGCAGACTGGTTGCTGCGACATTCAGATGGTAGTGTCAGAACTTGGCATAAACAACATGAAAGCATGGATCCATCCTGCCTTGTTTCAATGGTTCAGGCTGGTGGTGCTGTAATGGTGTGGGGGATATTTTCTTGGCACTAGCAAGGTGAACATCATAAAGTAGCCAGTGAGTGTATCTACAGTATATACACACACACACACACATTTGCATTTACTATATATCTATGAAAAACATTTCTTTGCATCATCCAAGATCCAGGTTGTTGCAGCAGAATTGCTACATCTGCTTGCACATGGTTGTTCTTAGTGCATCCAACCATACGCAAGCCTTCGGGGAACAAAAAATCTTCATGTAGAAGCATTTAAATGCAGCTCTGGTCTGAGACTGGGAAATAACAAAACCTTAGAGGACAGCATATAACTAATGACACCAACGTTAGAGTGGAAAAAACCAGGACGTGCAGCAGCTGCAAATCCAAAGAGTACCTCTGAGTCCCCCTTTTCTTCCTCACCATCCCCTTCCTTCACTACCAACCCATCATATTGATAAGGATGTAATTTGATGGAATCTTCTCTTATTCTGCAAATGTAAGTGTAGAGTCAGTGCAGCTGTAAAACTTGGGGTGGGGTGGGGTGGGAGGGCAGATATGAAGTGGAGAAAAGAAAGGAAGAGGGGGTGGGTAAGGGGTGAAATGGTTAAGAGAAGCCAGCTATGTCTGCTCTTCTGAATACGCTTTTCTCCCAGCAGGACCCATGCTGATCTGTCTTTGCTTCAGCTTTTTCAAATGAGTTAATCACCGTTTGCCAGAATGTAACGTTTTGCAACCATTGTCCCCCATGAAGGCTTCAATTTGGGTATACATTTATTATTTTGACCTTTGGCTGGCAGGGGGACAGACTTCAAAGAACAGTTCCTTTCCCTGCAAGAGAGAAGCTTTGTGCAGACATTTCAATGAGGGGTTTTTCTATACTTGGTTAAATAAAAGAAAAACGTTTAGTCTCAGAAGTTGAGGGGGGAAACACCTCCAGATCTATATTCAATGAAAATAAAAATCAATTAGTCTCTGGGTATGAGGAGCAGCGTGAAGGAAGGGCCGGGATTATGCAGAAATGGTCTTTAGAAAATAGAGAAAAGTTTCTCTGTAATCAAATCGTGCATGGTACACTTCTGAAAAAAGGCCACGTCTTTGTGCAGCCAGTGCAGGTATTGTGGCATCTACAGGCTGCTCATTTTGTACATGCCAAGCAAAGAGTGAAAGAAGAGCCTAGATTGGAGTCAAAAAAAACTATCTAAAGAACTTTAAATATTTATTCGGACTGATCACCTCCTACTGCTAAATCACATAATAAAAGATGTATCTGATAAATACTACATTAAAGTGATAATACAGGGGTTTTTATTTTTTTTTTTTAAAAAAACAAACATGTCTACACTTACCTGTTCTGTGTAGTAGTTTTGCACAAAGCAGCTCCGATCCTCTTCTCGGGTCCCTCGCGGGCACTTCTGGTTCCTCCCCGATTCCCTCTTCACAGGTTGTGATTAAGCCAATGGCTCCTGATGCTGTGTCTCAGCCAATGAGGAGGGAGAGACTTGGGAGAGCAGGAATTCCTGTGCACATCGCTGAACAGAGATCGGACTCAGGTGGGGGGCCGCTGCACACTGAATGTTTTTTACCTTCGTGCATACAATACATGAAGGTAAAAAGCTTTCAGCCTTTACAAACACTTTAAATAAACCTGCTCATGAAAAGTTTAAAGGTTTTATAGAAATTCTGTTTAGCAAAGTCATTTATACTGTAAGCTCAACGTGTATGTAAATCCTACACCCACTTTCCAATATATTTGGCTTCATGCCTCACTGTATACAGTTTTCTGTCAATCTATTGCACTTTATTTGAGATCTGCCACTTTTTGCTGCAGGCTGACAACACTGGGCCACTCAATTAGCAGCAGCGTTGTCAGCCTCATAGAAGCAGTGGCTTAAGCTGGCCATATACGGCTCAAATTTTGGCCAATTCCTACTGAATCAGCCAAAGTTCAAGCTGTGGGAGGCCCTGTCAGCACCACCAGCAAAGCAAACTTTGATTGAAAAATTGCATCCACTTCCGGTATTCAGCCAGCCACAAGTGAGGAATCTAGACACGTATGACAAGCCTTAGGCTGTATTCACACTTTTTTGGGTCTACTGTGGTGTTGCGCATTTGCGTGCCAGCAAAACGGTCATTTAACAAACTGTGCAAGGCTTATGCCCCAGAAAGGTGCATGAGCTTCTTTTGGGTAAAGTAGATGGGCTGTCCTATGCGTGGCACATCAAATAATGTGAAAATCGAACACACAAAGTAGCGAGTGGGAATGCTCATTCCTGCTATGCAATATGGGCTTTAGAGTTGTCAGCAAATGGTAGTATCAATAATCATCTCCCTGAAACCTAAAGCAGACCTTCATCCTAACTGTGAAGTTGTCCTCCCATGGCTCCCTGGTGAGTGTGCAGATGTGACACCCGAAACCTGTGACCCGGTATCTGGCACACACGGGTTTTGCCATGCACGACCGCTAATTGGGAAGCTGGAAATCTTCCCTATCTTTGCACGTGTCAGCATTTCTGCAGAGCTCTACAGAGCCTGCAGTGATGGGCTCTGCCTGTACCCAAAGGCTGGGTAAAGCCAATGCGTGCATCTGCACATTCACCAAAATGGCAGTGCCCAGGGGGGCAAAGCCAATTAATGAGGAGGACTGAAGATCTGCCTTAAATCTAATTTCCGTGCACAAGAAAACAACGACCTGTGCATTGGGTCCCCTACACTACAAGGGTTAATTGCTCATTTTTGCCTGGGAGTACAAGAAGAAGGTGTCATACTTCCCTTATGTCTCACTCTACTGTAGAAGAGTCCCTTTAGCCGTGTAACCGGTCCTGCGAATCTTCCCCCCTAAGGCCCTCCCAGCCACTGTTGCACTCATGTCTCCTCCATGTACAATTAATAGCCCTGAAAGATTGCCTACAGCCCCAAGCACTGGAGGAAGAAAAGGTCAGCGCTGGAGACAACATGAGTAGTGGTAAGGTAATTAATGTAGTCTTCCCATCCCCCTTACATGTAACCAGCTTTAACCGTTTTATCTTTACATTTTGAGTTCCAGCTCTTTTTACAAGAAATAGCACAGCTCAGTTAGTACTCATAACATATGGAAACTGATATTCATTCAAAAGTATAACTATGCAGATTGTGTGCCTTTTTTAATTTGACCATGGTTCAGGCTCGGTCCACACTAGTGCGGGCCATTCAACCCGCATTTGCACGGGCACACCAGCCCATTCATTTCTTGCTGTGCTCGTGTTTCACATGCATGCACCTTTTCCAAAACATTTTGACCCATGCAGTTTCCGTGCAGTTCCTGCACCCGCGATCACACTGTGGGATGACATGCATGGAGGTGCTATTCATTTTCGCAAGAGAAACGCAATGCAGCTGCGGGTGGTTGCAGGTGCAGGAACAGGTGCGGGTGGTTGCAGTTGCATGACAGTGTGAACCAGGCCTTGGGTAGTTACATTTATTCCATAAACCAAATGATGTTTTAAAATAAAAGGATCTTGGTTTCCTATAGCTCAAGAGGATCTAAGTTATGTGTTTTTTCACAGTCCAAAAGACAGACCTGTTTGCCAAAAAGTCCTTTGGTGAGTTCCTTGTCTTTATGAGTTTAAGAGAAATGGCCTTTTTCCTCTTTAAAAAAACCCACACAAAACATTCTAAAGCAGGGATGTCCAACCTGTGGCCCAAGATGGCTATGAATGCGGCTCAACACAAAATTGTAAACTTACTTAAAATTGTTGATGATTATTTGAAAAAGATTTTTTGGGGAATTTTTTTGTAGGTATGCGTTTACACTTAGCAAACACATGCAGCTGAAGAAAAATTTAACAGCGTCTCTTTACTGGACTTGTATAAGGTTTATCTTCCAAAGAAAAATATCCAACTCCTCACATCATCATACCTTATTCATGGCATCAGTTTTTGGCAGCACCTATTTTGATGAAAGGATGAAACACACGACGGGCAAAATTAGAACCAAAATATCTGATGAGCACCTTGAGAATTTATTGAGAATTGCTACTACATACATCAAACCAGATCTTGATGTATAATTTTATCAAATACAGTGTCAAATATCACACTAGATTTATGTTGCCCTCTTTTACAATAAAAAATATTTTTAAAAAATGAAGTTGTAGTATTCAGCTATCCTTATTGTTAGTGTATTTTATGTGTGGCACAAGTCAAATCCTCTTCTTCCAATGAGGATCAGGAAAGTCAAAATGTTGGACACCCCTGTTCTAAGCTGTTCTTCTAAAACTCCACTGCTGAGATGTATTGAAACTCCCCTGT